GCACAAGAGTTTCCATACACATTATGTGATACCCAGCATATCGCAACATATTTGCTTCATACATGCCCAATCTGATAGCAGATTAATTAAAATAAATATATTGTGTCCACAGACTCTTCCTGGGGCTTTATGGTTATACTTCAATACTGTGATATACCTCAGAAACCTGGAGAAAGAAAACTACCTCTCAAAGTCTACATTAGCACATTTCCACAAGTACTCCAATTTCAAGCTGGCAGATGTATGACTACTATTCAATATCTCAACACTCTTAAACTGTTACAGTTTCAGCAATTGCAGTGTATCTGCACTTTTAACATACCCAGTGTCTACATATAAAGAACCTATTTTTCATACCAAAGCGGCTTAATGCATTAAGAAAAATCACATACTATCTGTCACTACAGCAACAAAACAAACACCGTGGCTTTAGTCCACAAGTGAACTATACTGACCAAGCGATGGCCGCTTGTTGGCGAAGTTTGTGCCAACTTTAGGAGATAGAGGGTGTCACGTGATCAGCGCAACGAATCTCCATGGCCATTAATTTCGGTTTTCTAGACCGGAGCTGCTGTTTACTTGAAATAGTTCCTCAATTATCATCATGAGGCTGAGTGGACTCCGAAACAGACCCACTACTTCTCAGAAAGAATCTGGTAGCGCTGGGAATCGAAAACGGACCTCTGGATCTGTCAGTACAGCCCTTATAAATAAAACACAATTGACTGACAAGATGTATTGGTTTAATTTGTGGAAGCTTCATACATACATGCAATAGACAAACTCTTCCTGCCATCTGGGTATACACATTAATATTTACTTAATGTTAACATAATTTGTGCGTCAGGATTATGTGCATATATCCGTCTACTTTGTTAGTTTATGATGTATGGCCTCTGTTAAGAGCTCAAAATATTTCAGTTAGCACCTGAATTTTAATGAACTTCTCTACCCCTCTGACAGATCATACGACTCAATACACCTAGATAAATTTTAAATAAATATGTCATTCTGAACTGAGTTGCTTCATGAAAATATACAAAGATACAGGTGCACAAACATAACAATGATAACATCATATGACAAAATGAACAACTTTCCCTTTCCCTTAATAAAAAAAACAGGGCATTCTAGAAAATCTGAAAGCGCCAAACTTCAATCTGAGGAGCTAGATTTTGTATAGCTGTTTCCAAACTTTGTTTCTGCAAGGTGTGTTAAAAGGTGATCTTTTTTTTTTTCACTTAGTGGGGGGGAGGAGTCCAACTGGGTCCACTCGGCATGGCAGCCACTGATTGGCCTATTGTAGCCTGCCCCAGGTGATTACAATGATGGAGAATTTGGTGGTAAGAAGATTGGCAGAGGAAACCGAAGTACTCAGTGAAAACCCATCCCAGCACCACTTTGTCCACAACAAACCCCACTTGACCAGAACCTGGATTGAACCCAGGCCACCACGGTGGGAAGCCAGCGACTAACCACTTGAGCTATGGCGCAGCCAGGGTGGATCATCAGTGAGAGAGTGAAGAGGATAATAAGGAAACTGGGGGGTGGGGCAGTCACCAGTACTTACTGTGTTGTGATGTTAGTCATTCTGGGTTCAGCCAGCAGCATTACCAGAAGACAGGTAAGTATATTTCTTTCAAGACACAACAATGCTATAATCTGGAGCAACGTCCAATCACATTTCATTGTTGTCAGTTTGCCATATAACCAGAAGCACAAGACATTGAAACATGGCCCCATTCACTTCACTTTTTTACAATCAAGCTATCATTACCATGTCAAACAGCTGTAAGACCAACTACTAAAGTATGAACCATCTGAGAGAAATCATGTAGCTATTATGGAAGACAAAAATTGGTTTTTATGTTGTGGCAGAAACTGCTAAATTACCCACCACTTTGAAGGTAACAAATCAAAACATTACACATTTTTCTTTTTTTCTCTTATTGCTAGTGAGGTGGGACTAAGTCCCTTGTACTGCAGCCACTTCTGGCCTATTGTACCAGCCCCAGATGATACGTGAGGGTGACTGTGGAGCAATTGGTGGAATGAAGATTGTCAGGGGAAACCGAAGTACTCGGAGAAAACCTGCCCCAGCGCCACTTCATCCACCACAAATCCCACTTGACCAGGCCCCAGGATCGAACCTGGGCCGCCACAGTGGGAAGCCGCCAACTAACCACTTGAGAACATTACGCATAGCAAGCCATAAGACACCTAGCCAGATATGACATGGTACTTTTTTTAACCAATCAGTGTATGACATTACAATCTCTTGGCCAGCAGATATATCATATTTCACAATACACTAACCAACACTTGCATGCTTACTACCTCCATGCCCCACCCTAGTCAAATCTCTGTAAAATATTCCATAACTTCATATTCTTTTACAGAAATATACACAAACGTAGCTTCAAAAACAAAATGGAGGGTACAAAACATGTTCTGCTGCATTTTCATAACTATACAAAGTTCACTTTTGCATCATTCTACAAATCATTTAGCCAGCTTCTCAGACACCTGTGCAAAACACCCAAAATGAATAATTTTCCTCATAATGCAATTATTAACATTCCACATACTCTTACACACAACCACTACGCACAGCACTTCATCTATCCACAGCCTACACTATGAGTAAGAGACAAAATTATATATAATGACATATAAATATATAATAAGCAAGGTTTCATGACTTAACAAGTATTGTACGAAAGGTTTTTCCAGACATGTAAAAATCAAATGAACAACATGATTCATGAAATAAATATGCAATGAAAATGCCAAGAATTGAAAATTACAACTCATATAACATTTTATTATACTCTTCAACACTTTAAGATGATTCCCATGTTTAGGTAAAAGGAAACTTTGGGGGAAGACACAGAATCATTTCCTCGAATCTGCATGCACGTACACTACCTGCCTAGAGAGGACATTAAATACATTACTTCAGAAAAATGTATTATAGCGTTCACAATTATTAATGATCTGTGTTGCACTGAGAGACGAGACATATTCCATGATGCTGCCAGACCACTGCCCACAGATGTATGAACTAATTATGGTGGAATACATGCAACATATTAATAATTAGCACCAACACAAAATTAAAATAGAGCAAAACTGTCTATTTAACTAATCCAAAGTATCATCATCACTGTCCTCACTGCATTCACAGCTTGAGTTTCAGACATGAATTCTTGTGGACTGACAATAATGGATTGAAGTATGTCAACTCTTTTTACAATAAAATCTTCTTGCAGATTTTCTCTGTGCCTGACAAGAGTCTTTCCATATTAAAATGGTTATGCAGTCCATTGCATAATATGTCCACTTCTCAGTACCGGCAAAAGTAAATTTCATATTTTTCTTTGCCACATAACCCTTTACTTGTGGCCATCAGTTCTACAGGGTTGTACTAGCACTGACAATGTGATAAAACATACCATTCGATGAATAGATTCCTAAGCTATGGCGTCAATTTCATAAATTTTGTGCCCACATCCATTTCCTTTCACCAATTCCAGTAAATCTGTCTTCTATGATATAACACTCAGTTCTGCTGAAAGTTTTTCTTGCTGGGGTTACCCTTCAACTCTTGATGATGGAAGCGACAAGATATTTCAAAATGTCTCCTCACTTTCGTTGGACTACATAGTGTTTTATCCTTCAGACCCCTTCTTTCAAACCACTGGTCTGATAACATGATTTCCTTGAGTGGCTCTGCCTAATCCATTTCTCTTCTGAACAGTAAATTTGTGAACTGCCCTATTTTCAGATTTTATGCATTATTCTCAAGTACGCAATCCTCGCAGTCACAATACCACTACACTTCTTCAAAGGCTTCTGCCATCACTGCATTTTGTATATTTAAACCTGCGGCCTCTAAATCTGTTACAGAGATTAATATCTCCATTCAAACCTCACAGATTATTACATTCCACAAACAAGGTAATTGGATACCGGGAATTGGCCCCTATCAGACACCTTCAACACTTTACATCATACAATATAATTATCAAAATTAGTAAGTTATCCACCTCTTTTTACTTTCTGAGTCTTCCCTGAAGATTATAACTGTACATTTCGCCTTATCATCAGGAACAACCAGGCACCACAAGCTATGGCAGTAAGTTGTACTTTGGCAAGGTTGCAACAGTGGCTGCTGGCTACTCCGTGCCCCACCCAACATAGCTGTAAACTCTAGACTCTATATCTCTAGCCTGTTCAAGAACACCTGCCATTCTTGTCCTTGATCCACTGTTATAAATTAATACCAAACGATACTATTACATTAATACACTAAAAGTATAACTTGGAAAGCACGTTTCACAAAAGAGCTACTTTCAACTAGATAATTACAACTCAAGTGTGACTACCTTGTTGGCTAAATTACACAGCACTCTGTTGCTACAAAATAACTGAGCCCATTGGCTATAATCTGCGACAAGTAGAATAACAGACTAAAAAATGTATATAAGGAAATCCTACCATAATAAATGCCTTATCATTTATGAAACCCTGAAGTGTAATGTAATGTAATGTATCTGCATCCTTACATAGGACTATGAAAGTAGCATTTATGTATATGTTACTTTTTCTGGTTTCAAATCTTGAAAACACAGCAGTTACACATCACTGTAAATTAAACTTACAGTGCATTTCATCCGGCATGTATTTACATGTTCCATGTGATCTCAGAATAGACAGCAATTATTTCCCTAAAGAACATTAACTAATTAGTCTGGAATGCAGATGCAGTGTTTTCTGTCAGACAGAAATTATATTTAAATTTGGAGAGGGGCTACTTTATGATACTGTCAGTACTGAAGCTACAGAACACTGTAACAGCACGATGATCAGTGAACTGTAAAGGAACTGGAAAAAAGTGGTTATGACCCAATCCAAGTACTAGCCCAGCATCTGCCTGGAGGGATTCATGAAAACTTTCAATATTATTCAGATGAACCTCAAGCAAATATGAATTCTACCTTGATTCACAGGGTAGTACCCATACTGGTGCTGCTGCTGTTCATACTGGCTGGATCCTGGCTGCAGTGGTAGTCGGGAATAAAAAGAAGGCTCCAAAGGCTGATACAAGTTTTCTGTTGGATCACGTCCACTACCTAAACAACATGAAACAATGCTCACAGTGGCATATAAGTCTATAATATTTATCATATGAACTACAAAAAGGGGAGTTGGGTGTACTTTCCAGTTTCGACTACATAAGATTATAACCTCAAACTTACGAAACGAACTGTTCTACGTGGACTTCATAAATATTAAATAAAAGTATCATACATTTGACGGAATACACATATAGAACTGCACAATTGCATTGCAATGAAAAACATCTCATTTCATGCTATACTGCACCTAAAACGCTGCATATCTGAAACTTTTTACACAAACACTGAATGTACGCTAACAACCGGCATGGTCATGGGGACAGATGCATCAGGGTATGGAATCACCCAAATGGAATCCTTTCTTTCCTTTGGACAAGATCGATGGGGTCGAAAATACCGTCACTGCGAGAACACACACCAATAACGTACAATATATTGTCATATATATGTTGTAAACGTTCCCGATTAAACAAATATAAACATTAAACTTACATACGCAATGCAACTATACACACATATACGCAAATTTCCTTCACCAAGCTGCTTTCCAAAACTCCCAAAATCATAAACGCAGGATGTAACAAAGATGGCCGCTCTATTTTTAGACGCCATCTATTGTTGGTTGTAGGAACTTGTCAAAGTTCCTTGTTCATTGTTTCATAGTGCCATCTGTTACGTAGTGATAGAACTTACACTATTACGGAATTTGAATTTTACGTAGCGCATCAAAACACTAATCAACACTGAGAATACAAGAAAAACATGGAATAAATATATTAATATTAGCAATGAACATGATATTTATAACATATATTTTGTTGAAACCAAACCTATATTCTGTACATCTTCATACACATGACAGGTCCAAACGTCCTTGAAAATTAAGACATACACCTTACATCAAAATGTGATTTCATGTGATATTATTAAACGAAAACCAGAAATTCAATATGTTTTGAATAATTTACTTCATATGTACGTTCAGGCCAGCACTCCAAACACCACTATACTCACAATCTATTTTTAGATCGTACGCCTAAAGCATCATGCTAGATCAGGTTATGCTTCTAAGTTGGCAGACGTGAAAACCGTAAGACATAGCCGTGTAAATACGCGAACACAATCTGAAAACTACTCGCCAGCATTTCTGTACTGGAGGTATGTTTTCTAATTACACAGGTCTGAACACAGCGAACGTCCATAAACATTTCGTAGTTCCAATAAATACACCTCCCTTTACCTCATCTCATCTGTGTGAATTGTGTGAATTCGATTTTGGCAATATTAAACTATCACAACGTAGTTCCCAGTATTTCGCATGCCTGTTTGCACGTACATATAGTCACGCCCTTTAAGGACAGACTTTGATTGCACAGTCATATATATTATTAAATTCTCATCCAATTTATATTCACCAGTCACAGCAGACAACCATTACTGTCTTATAGGAGTGAGCAGGGATAGACTTTTGTGCCATGAAGACGTATGGAGGGCATGAAAGACAATAACTGTCACCATCAGCATGATCAACATAGTCTCCAAAACGCAGGCACTGTTCGTTACTTGAAAATATTAGGCTCTAAACGCATTTTAATCGAGAATTTATTAAGTGTACTCTCTTGCTCCAATATTTTCTTTATAAATGCCACGCCACTAAATTTGTAAATTGATATTTGATTATTCTTAGAATATTTACAGACTCTCTTTCAACTTGCATAGGTTATACAGAGTCGAAGGAGATGAGGAGATGTTCATGAATGATAAATAAGACAACACATGAAAGGCGGGATCTTGGCCAATTTCAAGGTTCACTGTTCATAATGTATGTAATGTCGTCAAGAAGAAACGGAAAATCACCGGACTGACAGAATATTTTCAAATGTATTTCAGACTGCCTCTGTGGTCTAGTGGTCAGAGTTCATAGCTACAGAGCCAAAGGTCCACGATTCGATTCCCGGCGCTACCAGATTTTGAGTAGTGGGGCTGGAACGGGGTCCACTGAGGTGCTACTTGAATGGAAAAGTAGCGGCTCCGGTCTATAAAACCGAGATTAACGGCCGTGGGGAATTTTTTTATTGTAGAAAAAATACTGTAAAAAAAGGCCCATCCGGCCTTCTGTAGCACATTCTTATAAACATCTTATTCTATAATAGCGGTCACCCCGCGATTCTTAATATAGATCTGAACTTAAATCTGAGAGTGTACTGTTAATAATCAGTAAGTTACTTCTTTCACTTTCCTTACATATCTGTTTTATATAAATATATGAATGCTGTTTATGAAGTCACAGACGCCTTGCAGAAATCTTTTTTCTTCTAGCCTTAAGAGCTCTATAACTGACTTTGAGTATCCTTTTTGGCTGTTCTCAGACAAAATGTCCATCATTGTTGTCCGCTGGTCCTCGTACAGTTTACAGTCCCAGAAGATATGTTCCTCCGTTTGCAGCCCATCACTGTTGCCAGTTGGTCCTCTTACAGTTTACAGCCCCAGAAGATATGTTCCTCCGTTTGCAGCCCATCACTGTTGCCCGCTGGTCCTCGTACAGTTTACAGTCCCAGAAGATATGTTCCTCCGTTTGCAGCCCATCAACACATTCGCATTCGGCCGTGGTCACAAGTTAAATCTGTTTAAGCACGGGAACCGTTGCGCTGACCACGTGATACCCTCTATCCGCAAAAGTTGGCACTATTCGCCGACAAGAGGATGTCGCTCGGTCGGTATAGTTCACTTGCGGACTATAGGCCGCGGAGTTTAAATTTAAACTAGTATTTTCCCACCATACGTCACTGACACAGATCGCCACCGACAGGCAATGGCCAGAAAACTTCGAAGGAATGTTAGCTACCATCATCCTCACATCGGTTATCAGTAGAGAAGTGACAAAATTGGGCAAAAATTAAACTTTTTTAGTTCAAAACAAACAAATAAAACATAATATCAGCCATGAGCTCTACAGGGATTATGTAAAAATAAATATTCATGCAGCACCGTAACAATTCAGGAGGGCTTGCTTTGCCTCTTAGAATTTCTGTTCGCCAATAAATAACGTACAGTATGTGGAGTGGACGAGCAAGTCTATCCTGTCTCCGATAAAAAAAAAAGTTATGAGAAGAACTAATCGTATACTTTCTTTGAAACGACACTGACAACACAGAAAACGACGCGTCCAACAATTCAACTATTGCGTGTGTATTCGCTGCCGCGGTAACGTTTTTACCGAGCAGTTGTCTAGCAAAGAAATGGGAAAGCACATACAGACTGATGGGAGGAATTTATGAAGTATGCCGTTGAGATGGGCTCAGGTGGCATGATACACATACCAAGTTTCATACAGATTTGTTCAGGCATTCAAAAGTTTATGGGGGACGGGACATATAGACATACAGACAGCATGGTGATCTCATAAGTCTACTTTTATTTTTGGTTTTTCCAAAATAATGAAAGTAGGAAAACATTTGGTCAAAATCACTCCAATGGGTCTCGAGGTATAGGACAAGAAAGCGTAAAAATCCATTTTGTTTAACTGTGTCGAAAATCGTAAGACATGGAAAATTTGTAGTGGACATAAAGTGTTTCAGTTTTCTTTATGTTTGTTCGAAACATTTTCGCTCTATTAAATATTTAGCGCGTTAGGGCAACTATGCGGGCAGAAACGCGGGACTTCATGAATGCGTCCGGTACTGTTATTGCTTTTAACATAAAACTAAAGTCGATAATTTTTAGTAAAATTTCCCAGCATCAAATCATACGAAAATCCGTTCAGTGAATCCAGAGTCATTACACAAGAAAATCCCGTCATGGCAAAGCTAACAGACACATTTGTTTTTTGTTTTTAAACTGTTGTTATAAACGTGTTGAAAACATGAAGAACAACCGGACAAGAATAAGTAGGAACTGGTTTGCAAAATTAATTTTGATTCCATAGCTGCAGTATTACACGTGCCAGTAATTGTAACATCGCATTTTTTGTCACGCTACGCTATATTACATGAACAAGCTTACTGCATTTTTACGAACCGTTACAAACCACACATAGAATAGTCTGTCTTATATATGAAGCAATATCTTAATCTCGTTGCCATGATATTTCTCCTTCAAGAAAATAATAATAAGTCTTTCACGCCAGACTCTTTATATTGAGCACTGATGCTTGCCTGTGACGATTTTTCAAATACAAAAATTTCCAGTCTGGTGATTTTCGAACACAAAGTTTCTAGTTTATCAGGTAATGTAAAAGTAAAGCTATCCCTGTAATAGGCCGTGGAGGCCCACTGGGTTGTGAGACATTGAGGTTCCCACATTATCTAGATAATCGACTCATAGATAGCGGTAAGGTTGACAGCCTTACGCGCCGGCCGCCCTTTACCCTCAAGAATATTCCTGGTACTCATTTCTGTTAGAGGCTGAGTCGACCCCAAGGCCATAGTGCGGCTGGAAGGATTAGGTACATTGAAAAAATCCACCTCATCGGGATTCGATCCCGCGACCTTCCGGCTTGTAAGATAGTGCCTCAACCATTTACGCTACCGCGTGCCCCCAGTCTATCAGGTACGGTAAAAATATTTTCTTTTATCCCAAATTTGTGTAAAATATATGTATTCAAAAGTCAAGATTTTCTATTTAAAATCTGGCATTGTCTAATATATTTAGAATCGCGCACTGAGGAACCCAAACGAGTTTTCCAGTACTATCCATGTTCGATGGCCGATAATAAAAATTAGCCTTGTTTATGACAAATAATATATTCTTAATAAGTACATTATCAAGAGGAAGGTTTCGTTTGCGATTATGACATGCGGTATTGGTTCCTTTGCAAAACGGAACCAGTGATATTCCTTCCTCAGTTCTGATAAAATAATCTTAGGTCAATAATAGCATATCGCAGAACGGGATTATCAACTGGTCGGTTTTCTGTTTCCTAGTCTGGCCTCAACAACGAAAACATTCACATTGTAAAATAACATATAACATAAATATATAAAAAAAAATCAGTGATATTTGCTACAGCTTCACGACCTGAAATAGAAAGTCACGAAAAGACATCCTTGTTTGGAAACATAATCTCAATCCGTGCAGTCATTCAATTGAAATATTCAATTTTAATCAGTCGGAAATTCGCAGTCAACCAAATCTGACAGTGTCACTTCCTGGAAAAAAAACAAACAAACAAAAACATAATTCCCCCCAAATCTCACACTTCCTTCCCTGTCCCTTTCTGGCTTATTTTAAACTTCAGTCTCTCCTGCTCAATTTTATTTTCAAAACATTTTAAACTGAATTAGGGAATTTAACAGCCTCGTCATAGGCTTACTGCTAAGTCTTCCTGTTGTAACTATAGTGTTTTCATTGTATGACGTCGCCGCGTCGCCGAAAACAAGTATAATTCCCTCAGTAGCCATTTTCCAAGCATGTTCGCACCGTTATAGAGACCCTATATTATTTCCTTAAGTGACAGTATCAATATTGGCACTGTATGAAGTCAATAGAACACGTTGAATTCTCATTACCAAAAGACTGTACTGATATGTTGTCATTTGGAAGCAGCGTTGAAGCTACATTCATCAGCCATTAACCCTTTGCAGAATAAAACAACCGCCTTCAA